TGGTCGCTGTGCCCCGTCCTGGGGGGCGGGAGCCACTGGAGATGAACCTCCAAAGGCTGAGTGACGAGAAGTCTTATCGACACAGCATCTTGGCGAATCAGGAGGGAGGGACATAACGGAGGGAGAAAATGTCAGAGCGAGGGAGCAACACATCCGAAAGAGTATTTGTGGAAATTTCAGTGCAAAACCCCCAGAGACAGTTTGTGCTTCCAGCTGCCTACCTCTCCCCGAAAACTCGGCAGATCCATCTTTTATAGGAACGTCTTAAACAACAGGGGGTTACTCCACGATTCGTTTACAAGGATCGTTGAAGGAAAATCAAGGCCCGCGGCATCCTGCCTCTTTAATTGCTCATTTATTATTACTGTGGGGGGAGGCAACGGCTTTGTTAGTCTTCTACATCGTGTAAAATATTTATTGGTAAATAGAGCAGTACGTAAATTCATGCCGGGCGAGATTTTGTGGAGCCTTTTTTCTTCCCCCTCCACTGATAGCTATAATTTCCACTTGAAAAACAACAACAATATTGTGTAGATCGTTCAGGCCCAGAGCTGAGAGCATTAGAACTCAACATCTATGTGACGACACTGTCTCTTGGTTTCCGTGGGAGGGCAGGGTTCTCTTGGTGGGCTGGCCCTGTAGTTTGTGAAATGAACTGATTTCCTGCTTATTAAGCCCATAGTGCTCGGGAAGAGGGTGCATGGAGGTGTGGAATTTCTTCTTTCTCCATCACATCGAAATTCCAAATAAAAGCAGCTTTTATTTATTTAATTTTTATCCTCACCCGAGGACACTTTTGCATTTATCTTCAGATAGGCCAGGAGGAAGAGAGAGAGAGAAACATCGATGTGAGAGAGACACATTGAGTGGCTGCCACCCACAAGACCCCAACTGGGGCCGGGGACAAACTGCAACCGAGGTATGTGCCCTTAGCAGGAATGAACCCAGGTCTCTCTGGTCCACGGGCTGACACTCTAACTGCTGAGCCAAACCAGCCAGGGCAAAAGCACCTTTTGTAAGTGAGGATATTGATCATTTTTTCACTCATCTGAAAATTCACTGGGAGGTGGTTCCACAGAGTTGGTTCAGTGGCTGCAGAATGTTCCCAATGAGCCAGGGTCATGTCCAAATACAGGAAAGAGAGTTTTTGAAATTTTATTAAATGTATTGGGGTGACATTGGTTAAAGAATGATAGTTTCAGGTGTACAATTCCATAACGCATCATCTGTATATCACATTGTGTGTTCACCACCCAAAGTCAACTCTTTTTCCGTCACCAATGATTTGACCCCCCCCGACCCATTATTCCCTCTCTCCCACCTCCCTTCCCCCCAGGTTAACTACCATGTTGTCTGTGCCTATGAGTTTTTGTCTGCTTGCAGCTTTTAGTTGTATATGCCACCTAGGACTCAAGTCATATGGTTGTTGGCATTTTTCCATCTGACTTTTTTCACTTAGCCTATTTAAAGAGAATTTTTTTTTTTCTTTAAATTCTGGAGAAAATTTTTTTCTGGAATCTCTCAGCAGACTTCTACTCAGGCCTCCTTATCCAGATCTGAGCTCCAGCTCACCTTGAAACCAAGCACACGAGCAGGAGAAAGGCTTAGAAGAGATGAACTGTGGCCCATTCCCTGGGCAGGGGAGAGGGGGATGAGAATACTTCGTCAGCCTACTTTGGCCCCATCCTTGAAAACAATGACAGAGGAATGGCTCACGTGTGTGCAGACAACTGGGGGGGGGGTGCCCCCTTCTCACACACTATGGTGTCAACCGATCTAGGGGTGGTGATTCACAACATTCCACACGCCAGGCTCCGTATCCCTGCGGCAGGTGTAGTAGACGTGTATGAGACAGTGGTTCTCAGGGACTTTCAGTGGACACTGTCAAAAAGCAGAGAGTTTCTTAACTTGAGAAATTAATATAATAAAATATCTGGATGACCTCTTCCACCCCAGGAGACTGGACTATAGAGATGAATAACATCGAGTTCTTGCCCGCAGAAGAAATTCACAATTCCCTTTATTCATATGCTTCCTTGGACCTGCTCATGCTGGGAGCACTTTCGCCCCCTGGGGTGTCCAAGCTTTGTCATGTTTTCCTCTGGGCACACAGGCTAGGGTACAGCTGAGCCCTGGCCCATTCTGTTTCTGCTTAGTTTCTCCGAGTCACCACTCACGGACCTGGGTGGGTTCCAAGGCTCCTTCCCGGGATTCTCCCAGCATCCTTTGCTTACCTTTGTCACATCCCTTACCATCCTGCGTCCTCACTCAGCCGGGCCGGAGCTGGCGAAGGCAGATTGGGGTTCAGTCAGTTTGCATCTTGACTGCCTAGCCTGGTGACTGAAACATAGTTTCCAATGCTTGTTTGTGGGACGACTGCATGAATAATTTAATCCAAGAAAATTAAATCTGGATCTTTTCCTCCTCTTTAATCAGTTTCCAGTTTATTCGTTTCTCCCTTTTTTCTCCTCTTTCTATTTCTTCTGTACCTGTTCTTTGCTCATAACTCATAATTAACTAGTATATTATATTCATTAGCTAACAGTGTGGCATTTTGCAAGTTACAAAATGTCGCACAGCCTGGCTTTTATCTTTTAACCCCTTTCCTCTTCTCAGAAGAAAGGGTAATTTTGGGGGTGCTGGAGGGGACCCAGAAACATCAGTGTTGATCAGGGACACCATTCCGGGGACTTTGTTTTCTACTTGAGCCAACTTTGGGTCCCCTGTCAAAGGGCTGGGGTCCTGCTGGGTGTTATGATTTATGATAAAACATATATATTTCCTCATCCCAGCTTCCCAAACCTTCGGAACTTCCTAAATGATGAGATCTACGACGGTGCCTTTTGTTATGTCTGTGGGGGGACTTTTGGACATCACCTAGGGATGGGGCTGGTGTCCAGGACAACCAAGGATGTGGTGAGAGGGTTGGAACTTTCATTCCATCCCCTCCCCATGGGGAAGTTAAGAACCTGGAGTCTGCCCGGCTGGTGTGGTGGTTGAGCCTTGACTCATGCACCAAGAGGTCGCTAGTTCGATTCCCGGTCAGGGCACATGCCCAGGTTGGGGGCCCGATCCCTAGTGGGGGGCATGCAGGAAGCGGCCAATCGATGTTCTCTGTCATCAGTGTTTCTATCGCTCTCTCCCTCTCCCTTCCTCTCTCTGTAAAAAAAAAAACTTAAGAAAAATATCAGAGATAAACAATTCATAAGTTTTAACCTGGGAGCCATTCTGAGTAGCCTGATGAAATCTTGCAAGATCTGCCCAGGGTGTGACACTCCCTCTATCATGTCTCCACGCTGCCCACATGTCCACGCAGCCACATGTCCACGCTGCCCACGTCACTTCCGGCTCGTGGTCTCGCTGCCTGGATATCAGGTGGCTGTTGAGGTAACTCAGGGTGTGTGTTCACTATTTCACTTAATAACGGCATCCAGGCACCAAAGTGGTGATGATGGCCCTTCGGATACACGGACGACAAGCCCGAAAGTGCTGCCTTTAAGTGAAAATGAGAAACTGCTCCCCTCAGCAGGGACAGAAAAAAATCTTTGCTGAGGTTGCTGACATCTCCGGTAAGATCCAGTCTTTGGGTGAAACCAGATGAGATACATTGAGAGAGCACATTAGCTTAAATTATCACAATATATTGTTAGAATTGTTTCATTTTATCAGTCATTGTTGTCCAGTCTCTTACTGTGCCTAATTTGTAAATTAAACTTTATGGTAAGTGTGCAGGAAAAATTAGTATACATAGTTTCAGTTTTAGCCACAGTTTTATGCATCCACTAGGAGTCTTGAAACATAGTCCCCCGTGGATAAGTGGGAGCAGCTATGATGAAACCTCCTTAAAAACCCTGAAGGGTTCAGAGAGCTGCTGGGTGGGTGACCACCTGGAGGTCTGGGGACCCCTCCCACCACCCTCCCCCCGGCCCTGTGCATCTCTTCAGTCTGCCTGTTCCTGAGTTACATCTTTTTATAAGATACAGCTGATCTCGTAAGTCACCTGTCTCTCTGAGCTTTGTGAGTTGCCCTAGCAAATGAATTGAACCTGATGAGGACATTGGGCTGGCCTTAAATGTGTAGCCCACTGGTCAGAAGTCTAGGTTACAGGAGTCGGGATTGGAGCCTGCAGCTGGGGGGCAGGGGGACCAGTCTTCTATGACTGATCCCTGTACCTGTGGACTCTGATGCTAGCTCTAGGCAGGTGGTGTTGGAATTGACCTGAATTGTAGGACGCCCAGCTGGTGTCTGGAGCACTGTCTGTTGGTGTGGGGGACCCTCCCCGCGTTGGCATCGGTACCAGAACCAAAGGCTTCAAACTCACCACAGTGATACATCAGTTGCCTTCCTGCTCCAGATTTTTGAGAGGCCAGAAGCATAAACATTTTGCACATGTACGGGTGGCATTTCCTGGGGGGCAGTGCGGATTCACAGAGTGGTGTCCTGGATTAACACGCAGTGCCACCGGGGTAGGAGGCATCACACGGTGCCTACCGGGACCCCCTTAGGGCAAAGCTCCCAGTGGAGATGTCGGAGCAAACCCAAGTCGTTTCCTTGGGGGAGAGCAGATACCAATGCTTAGGGATCCCCGGAGAGCTCATCACACCTGCAATGGGAGTTCCAGAGTTCAATTTTAGTATTTTGTTTTTCAAGGATTTGGGGGTATTAATTTTGACTTGTGAAAATACAGCCCTGCAATGTTATTTATCTTGATGACTACATTTTAAGTTTAATAGTTTTTTTCTTGATTGATTTTAGAGAAGAACAGAGAGGGAGAGAGAGGTAGAAACGTCGATGAGAGAGAACATCGATTGGCTGCCTCCTGCATGCCCCCCACTGGGGATCAGGCCCACAACCTGGGCACGTGCCCTGACCGGGAATCGAACCAGTGACCGGTTGGTGCTGGTTCGACGCTCAACCACTGAGCCACACCGGCCGGGCATCTTCAGGCACTTTTGTTGCAGGGAGTCTTACTGAAAGGAAGCACACCACCCAGCGTTCCCATGCGCGTCCTGAGCACACCACCTCCCCCCACTGCACTGAGAATAAAGATGCTTATACTTCCATTGCAGAGCTCCTCGGACAGGGCGTCCATCCTGACCATCCTCCAGGTCCTCGGAGACCTGCTCTCTGTTGGTGAGTCGGCCATGCTGTTATCCCTCGCAGAGTGCACGTGGGGGCCTGGGGCTGTGGAATCTGGGGGGGCCTGGGGTTCGGCTCCAGCTCCAGTTTTCTGTGAGACAGAATCGCGAGCCCGTCTTCCCCTACTGAGGTGAATAAGTCCCGGTATAAATTGGGCTGGTTGCGCTTTGCGTTCTTCAGTCTTGTCCCTCACCCTACGGTGACCCAGACTTGGGAGGAGATTAGAGTCCGGGCAGGGGATCTGTGGCCTCTCAGCTCGAGGCCCAGCACCCCTGGGGCTCTGTAGCTCTTCTCGGAGTTGCCCTCCATGGTTTGACCTTGCTCCCCCCGCAACTTTCCTCCTGTGGCCCATGTTAGAGCCAGGGATAGGAGGCCGGGCTGAACCGAGAGGGCGGGAAGCCGTCAGGTTGTCAGATAAGACGACAGAGTCGACGACATTGGACTCGACAGAACCTCAGTGAGCTCATTTCTACATCAAGAGTCCTGGAAAACACAGCTTTTTCTACCTTCCAGCTTTCCTGGTTTTCATTTCGAGGTGTGCCAGCCACGGGGCATTAGGGAAAAATACCAACACCCCACAGACCAGACCAGAATGAACGACACTCCAAACCACAGACCTCAGGCCGGGGTGCAAGAGGGAGGAGCCATGCACACGGAGGGGTCCCGGCGGCTCTGCTGCTCCCGGAGGCTGGGTGGCCCCCTTGTGGCCCTCGGCGTGAGGTTCCCTGTGTAGGTGAACACGTGTCCTTTGCCGCCTTTGATTCGTCCGGTAGTTTCTGGAGCTGTTGGAATGAAACCTTGCAGTTCTCGTCTGATAAGGGCGGATACTTCTCCTTTAGTACAGAGACTGCTTTTCGTTCGGATAGAAACCAGAGGTCTCCTTTGCTGCTAAGGTCCCACCCTGCTGGCCACCGTGGTGAGGTCAACCATGCCCAGGGCCTAGAGAATCACCCAGGACCCTTTTAAATTGGAACGTAATTTGCTTTTGAGCTTCTCCTGGGACATGGTGTGTGAGTGTGTAGTGGGGGAGGGGGTCCCTGTTTAAAACTCTTCATAGGTAGAAAGATCAATATACTTCATTCTAGCCCAGATCCACTTCGATCTTAGATAATTAGGATTTTGTTTCTCAAAGGACCACTCCGGTTGTCTCCACGCTTCCCTTCCATCAGTTACTGAGAAAAATGGTCACATCATCAATAATATTATTCTAGATAAGCTATTATCTCGGTCCCTATTACAGATCAGTCAAACCTATGGCAGAGGTACTATATTCCCTCTGTCGAAGTGTATGATTGTACGGCCCTGGCCCGGTTGGCTCAGCAGTTGGAGCATCAGCCCGCGGACCAATGAGTTGTGAGTTCGATTCCGGCCAAAGACACGTGCCTTGGTTGCGGTTTGTCCCCGGTCCCGGTCGGGTCGTGCGGGAGGCAACCAGTCGATGTGTCTCTCTCACGTCGATGCTTCTCTCTCTCTCTCTCCCTCCCTCCCGTTCTACCTGAAGATAACTAGAAAAAAAAATATCCTCATGTGAGGATTAAAAAATATATGATTATACGTAAGCCCGTGTGCATATTTATACACTTGTAGACACAAGTACATATGTACTTTGAAGTCTCAAGAGATCCTTAGGAAAGTGGATTGTAGGCTGTTTTACAGCTGCTACCAGTGAATAGACCTGGGTCCTTACATATTCTATTGTCTCTACATTTCATCCCCCCACTCCGGCCCTTCGCCTCATAGTGTAACCTGAACACAAGCCGATGGAAGGACTGCAAATTCTGGCTTCTGGGGTGAAATGAGCCGACGCCTGCTCTGTCCGTAGACCGAGGGGACGAGAGTTATTTCCACGGCTCAGGTCTCGTCTGCTTCCTCCGCAGGCACAGACAGGCGGATCTGCTACCTGATCAGCAAGGGCGGCAGCGAGGCCCTCTTGCAGACCCTGGTGGACACGGCGAGGACAGCGTCTCCAGACTATGACATCCTCCTGCCCCTCTTCCGACTGCTGGCCAAAGTTGGCCTTCGAGGTACCCACCCCCCCAGACTTGAAGATGATGCAGGGCACTTACGAGGTTGTTATTATGAGAGCAATTTGGGGAGCTCTTGAGGGGAAGTGTAGGGGGAAAGGCGGCAGGGAGCTGCCAGACACCTGGGTGGTGATGGCAGGACCAGCCCCTAGAAGAGGCACCTGTTGTCCTAGATGTCACCGAATCCAAGGTACAGTGCTTAGCACAGGATGCTAGGGGCAAAGGGCATGTTGGGGACGGAAGGGGGGATACTCCAAGGCAGTTTGCAATCACTTTACTTTTTCAAATAAATTTTTTTTTCTTTATTGATTTTAGAGAGAGAGGAAGGGAGAGGGAGAGTGATAGAAACATTGATGAGAGAGATCATCAATTGGCCGCTTCCTGCATGCCCCCCACTGGAGGTCTTGCTCACCACCTAGGCATGTGCCCTGACCGGGAATCGAACCGGTGACCTCTGGGTGCCTGGGTCGACGCTCAACCACTGAGCCACACTGGCCGGGCTCCATCACTTTAAAAATACTTGGAACATTGCTGCAAATAGGGTCTTAGGTGGATATTGCTTGTATAAGCTCATTCATTTCTGCAGCTGCCGTCATGGGTCACCACCAGGTGGGTGGCTCGAAACCACAGGGGTGTATTTCTCACAGATCTGGAGTCAGAGTCCAACTTCAAGGTGTTGGCAGGGCTGGTTCCTCTGCGGGAGACTCCATGCCTGTCTCCTAGATTCTGGGGCTTTCTGGCAACCTTGACTGTTTCTTGCTTATAGACACATCACCTTAATTCCTGCCTCTGTCTTCACGTGGCAGTCTTCTCCGGTGACTTTCTGTGTGTCTCTCCTTTTCTTTCTTTTTTTAAAATGATTTTTTATTTATTGATTTTAGAGAGAGAGGAAGGGAGAGGGAGAGAGAGATAGAAACATCAATGAGAGAGAACATCGATTGGCTGCCTCCTGCACGCCCCCCACTGGGGATTGGGCTCACAACCTGGGCATGTGCCCTGACTGGGAATCGAACCCGCGACCTCTGGGTGCATGGGTCGATGCTCAACCACTGAGCCACACCGGCCAGGCTCATGTAAATATTAATGGAAGACTAGAGGACCATATGTGTACCCTGAATTAGCTTTTCTGAGCCATCTGGTTCCAACGGGGACATACTCAGTAGCATTTTGTACTCGATCCGAGAAGTCTCGCTGGCTATGATTATCTTCTTACCTCCATGATCGTTGCCTTCCTCTCCCGCATACGTCGTATGAGCTTCAGGATTCATGTGCAACACAACTAAGATGGACTAATCTATGTTCGCAGATAAAAAGTTTGGACAGAAGGCGTTGGACTTGGAAGCACTTGATGTCACCTTGATTCTGACCAGGAAAAACCTGGCCCACAGCCAGAACCTCCTGCACTGTCTCTGGGCCCTGCGTGTGTTTGCCTCCAGTGGTGAGCGACCCGGTTATGGCTTTGTGGGGTGGCTTCCAGATCTGGGCTGGGACACCTGGAAAACATGTGGGGGTGTGGTTGGAAGGAGCGTACGGGTAAAGAACATACGTGGTCCCCAGAAGATAAACCGTGAGTAGCCTCATGTTCTGGTGGCGAGAAGTTTTCTCTTCATCTCATGCACATCTAAGTAGAACTGTTGAGTCTACTCCTGCAGTTAGAGGTCAGTATTGTTTTTCCATGTCCACCACACATATAAGCACCCCGCAAGGCGAAAGACCTGATTCAGTCCTTAGAGTGCTCAAGGCAAATGCCATGTGTCGCCCCTCTCAAGAGTGACCCTCCCATCGCAAGTCTCCCCTCCACAAACCTGAGGTTGCTCATTGATCACAACACCCTCTACCGAATTTCATCTTACAGCGCTTCTCAACATAGTCCTTAAGGCAACTAGACATCATGGCCACGTGGGACACCCCTATTTGCCATCTCCTGATTTGAATCCTTTCTGTTTATCCTACGAGTCCTATATCTAAACTTACCATTTTTTTTGGCCAACATAAAAGAAAATGAAGCTTAGAAGAAAGAGTCATGGCTTGAGTTCATACAGATAAGTCATGGGGCCGGTTATTCTGCTCCATGTGTGGGGACAGATCGTACTAATAGGGTTGATTTTGTGTCTCCTCTCTCACGGATAATGAGCACAGACTTTTATCCCCGTGTCTCTGAGCCACCTTTCCTGCTGAATGAAAGGGACAATTATTTAGATGTGATGCTCTCCAGAGGAAGGACGCGGGCTTAGATCCAGGAAGACCTGGGTTGATTCTGATCAATGATATTTCCTTGATGAATTCTAAGAATAAGCACGGAGGACCCATAATGAGAACATATTTCTAGGGAATAACGAGATAGATTCTTGACTCTGTTCACAGACAGAATGTCCACTTGCACTCATATTTATTTATTTTTTTTATTTTTTCTCCTCACCCGAGGACATTTTTTGTTCAGGTAGAGTGGGAGGGAGGGAGAGGAAAAGAGAGAGAGAGAGAGAGAGAAACATCGATGTGAAAGGGACACATCGAGTGGCTGCCACCTGCACGACCAACCAGGGCCGGGGACAAACTGCAACCGAGGTACACGCCCTTAGCGGGAACTGAACCTGGGTCTCTCAGGACCGTAGGCCGATGCTTTAACCGCTGAGCCAAACCGGCCAGGGCTTCACTCATATTTATTGACCAGAAAAGCAGGGACAGTCTGGGATGGGCTGAAGGATCTGCATGAACCCATCTCCAATACGGCTTTGTGAAAAGGACCACTCTCATTCCCGAGTGGCCTGGAGGTGCGTCACTCCACTCCTGTGCGGAGCTTGCCAGCGACAATTTGAAGGATCTCATTTTGTCTCCCCGAAGAATAATTCTTGTTATATAAGAATTTCTTCAGCAGGGAGCTCTGCAAATGACTCTTGTCTGCCTGAGGGTGTGAGGAGGTGGCCACTTGTGTCCTATTCTAAGCCTGCATGTTCCGTACCGACAAACTGTTTCATAAACGATTTTAAAAATCACACTATCAGTCTCTATACATTGACTTGACTGATGACAGGCACGCAGAGTTCATAAAGTCTATGGATTGCTGGCTCTTTGGTGAACTGTTAGCCACTGTTGAATGTCCCAGCAAGCTTTCTAAACAGCTCTTCTCGGCAGAAGGAATGGTCCGGAACCGGCATGGGGCTGGCTATCTGGCATCTCTCAGATAGCCAATGGGGATATTTCGAGAGCCGCCAGAGGTCTAACCTTGGGCAAGCACCCAGCCTGGAAGAACTCGGATGATTTCTTATTGCTACCCTTTCCCAATGCCAAGTCTAAAGTCTTCCATGTTGAGAATGTGTGTTCTTAACACTCTCTCCTCCTAACCCTGCTTAACGCTAGCATGTTGCCGAACTACTTGCCAAGAGATTGCTGTAGCATGTTTTCCCAGTTTGGAAGTCGTAGCCATGAGAGTGGGAGATTGATGGGCAGGACGAGGATGTCAGAGCCCTGAATTCTGCCTGTGCTCACGTCAGGAGCGACACGGGCACCCAGCCTGTGCCAGGAACATGCTCTCCTCGTAACAGCTAAGACGTCAGCCTCAGTCTCTCTCTGAGATGACCCACATTAGAGCCTCCAGATTTCTATTTCTCTGCCTTTCCCAAGGCTTGGAGAAAGCCAGTATAAGCCTCCCTTTTCTCTCTGCATCTCCACGACTGCCTTGCTCCTCCTCATATTTCTTGGAACAAGTCTGGCTCAGTTTACCAGACCAATGCAGTGGAGGAAAGAGAAAACAGTCACATCTTGGAAGATACTCTTCTTTCCTTCTCCCATAAAACTTTTGCCTCTTTTCAAACCGATTCCATTTTGTATCCTGTGGATTCCTTTTTTTCTTTTTGGAAATGTGACCAGAGCTCTTCCTGAAGGGAGCTCTGTGGTATGGGGGATATTGCAGAGAAGCCAGGGGATCATTCGAGATGCGACACCCAGAGATGTTGTGTCCAAGCCACTGGAATGACAAGAAACCTGTTTGAGTGTCTTTCTATTATTCAGGTCTGTAGTTATATTTTTGTAACCATCTGATTGAGCAAAAACGCAAGACTTTGCCAGGCTAGCTACTCTGAGCAGGAAGAACCAATTCTTCCTTTGACATCATGATGGATAACGACATAGTCAAACCTTAGCCGCAGTCATAGGAGATCCAAGTACAAAAGTCGTAGGGGAATTCGAAACCTGGGGTGGGAGAAAGAAAGGGTGTTAACTTCCGTATTAGGTTGCCCTTGAACATTTTAAAGGAGTCGACCCAAGTTATGCTGAACCTTAACCCATCCACCTGTGACTTTTCTTCATGTATCATATGGGAAGGTGGTGGTTGGCAAAACAGCTTAAATTGACATCATTGCCAGAAACCCATAGGTCTACTTACAGAGAAATCTGTTCATCAATTTCCTGGACTATTCTGATTAAGAATACAGCGGAGAGCCCTGGCCAGTTTGGCTCAGCGGTTAGAGCGTCGGCCTGCAGTCCGGAGAGACCCGGGTTCGGTTCCCGCTAAGGGCACGTACTTCGGTTGCAGTTTGTCCCCGGCCCTGGTTGGTCGTGCGGGTGGCAGCCACTCGATGTGTCCCTTTCACATCGATGTTTCTCTCTCTCTCTCCCTCCCACTCTATCTGTACAAAAAATGGGAAATATCCTCGGGTGTGGATTAAAAAAAAAAAAGAGAGAGAGAGAGAATACAGCGGAGAAATACAGTGGGCCATCAGAGAATGAAAAATATAATTTCATGGCTTGGACCCTCTTTGGGAAGACGATAATGTGGGCTTGTTAGGTGATCTTTCCTCCCAACCAGGGAGGAAAGACCACTGAGTTTCTCTGCTTTCAAGTTGCCATTGGTAAGGAAGGTGATGGACCTCCCCTGTCTTTTTGGTTCACTCGGTCATGCCGAACACAGTGCTTAGCTCCGACAGTTCAATACCACCTGTGCGCTTGTCTTTCTCAGTCACCTCGGGAGCCATGCTGGGAATTAATGGAGCAATGGAACTGCTTTTCAAAGTCATCACCCCTTACACCAGGAAGCGGACCCGAATAATCAGGTATGGAGTGTGTCTGTGTGTAACAGGTGCAGAGGCGGCCGCAGGTGTGTGGCCGTGGGGCTTCAGCTCTGTGGAGTGATGGCTCCCCCTGGTGGCTACGGTACAATGACTTCATTTTGTCACATGCTACCCTCCTCCCCACCCATGTGTCATTCCTCCAGTCCTCTCGGTAACCTTGAAGGAACCTGAAATGTATCCAAAGGCACCCAGGTCTTCTCTTTTTCCTCACTCTTTCGTAGTGAGCACGTCCTTAAAAGTCCAGAAATGACAGGGAGAAGGGACACTCTGCAGGGCCCGTAAAGAGTCAGCTGGTGAAATTCCCCGTACGAAATCACGGCGGTGGGCTGGTGCGCAGAAGGTTTTTTATGACCGGAAAATGAGACTCTGCCATGCTCCCTGGCGCGCGTGCTGGACTTGAGTGAATCACCGGCTTAAAAAGGGAGACGGGCGGACATGAAGGCATGAGAGATACCTGGGACCATTAAGATCCATCATTGCCGGCAGTGACTCAGCAAGGACGTTGAGAGAAGATTAGAAAAGATTCAGCCAATTTCCGAGAGAGATGGGGTTGTCCGGCAAGGTAGCATTTCATGCCCAGCCATGATATGTCCCACATCTCAGCATCCATCTCAAGTCCGTGTGCCCCCTGAGTATTTTTCTCGGGGGGTCACCACTGTCATGTCGTTATCATCCATTCTCACCTGCAGCTGTCTGCACCAGCATTTCCTAGAGTGAAATCCATTGTATCTCAGTAAGAAAAAGATTCCTCATCAAATGTAGCGAGAAGTACCGGGTTAAGCAAAGGTGGGCAGATTTATTTTTCACCATAGGGCTTCTCAGAACCTTCGTCACGGCAACACAGGTTCAGAATATGCAAGACAGGTCTGTCGTACACCCCGTTCTGAAGCTGATTTGGCCAGGGAACTATTTTTGTTTGGAACCTGTCTTCTCCCGGGAGTCATTGTTCTATGGACCGCATTTTGGGAAACTTCCATCTAAAGTCAAGTGTCTTGCAAAATGGGTTTCAGCTCAATTCTGCCGAGTCATCCTCATTGGGGAGGAACTCCGTGGAAACAACAGTAAGAAAAAATTAACGTCCGTGACGTTCCTGTAATTATGTTTGAGTTCCATCTTGCGCTTCCGTTTATGTCCGTTTATGTCTGTGTGGATATGTATGATTCGGGTATGTCTGGTTTCTATCATTGTGTGTAGGCCTTTACCGCAGTCTTATTTTTTTTTTCAGTTTTTATTGATTTATTTTTGTTACAAATGTTTCTGCTTTCCCCCCACCCAGACACCCTCCTTACCATCTTGCCTCCCCCTACCCAACACTATTGTCTATGTCCATTGGTTACACATACATGCATATAAGTTCTTTGGTTTATTTCATCCCTCCCCCCTCGCCCCTCCTCTGAGGTTCTCAGTCTGAACCATACTCTTTTCTATGTCTCTGGGTCTATTTTGTTCATCAGCTTATTTTGTTCATTATATTCCACAAATCAGTGAGATCCTGTGGTATTTGTTTTTCTCTGCTTGGCTTGTTTCACTTAGCGTAATGCTCTCCAGGTCCCTCCATGTCATCTCAAAGGATAAGAACTCTCTCTTTCTTACAGCTGCATAGTGTTCCATTGCGTACATGTACCACAGTTTTGTTATCGACATCTGCAGTCCAATTTACATGTCCCTGGGTCACCAAGCCATGAACTTTGCCTTTTAACCCTCTTTATGTGACCTCTTCTGACCTGTGGCTGTTTTCATTCATCCGTTTGGCTGCTCAGGAATATGTGGTTGCTCCCCCTACATGATGGGGTGTCAGCTGGGCCCATCCATGTACGTGTCCTATTCAGTCATCTCTTCTCTGCCAACTTGGGGGCCATGCCGCCTGGAGGGCTTCTCTAGGGAGCCCTTCCCGGCTAACCCTGACACTAAACCCCTTCCTTCTGGGCTTCTGATACCTTTTGCTGTCATCTACATAAGAAATGTCCAGACCTGTTGAGAATGTTCATGAGTTTATTTGGCCGATCTGACCATTGCCAGGAAGCAAAATCTCAATGAATTGAGGACATTCTCCCGAGAAGGGCAGCTTTGCAGCTTACTTTGTGCAGTAGAATCACCGCAGGAGACACAGGGAGGGCTACACGAAATCCCCTGAGGGTAGATTAAGGGGGTGGGAGAAAGCAAAGCAGAGAGATCTCTGGGGCTGGATACAAAGTAAAACAGAGAGACACTTCTTCACGTGGATGGGCACAGGGTGGTTAACAGTGAACCTTCACGGCCCGCAGAGGTGGTACACCGGGAACAAGGTGACAGTGGGGGTCTGTGGTCTGGTGGCCTGAGCGTCTGGAGTATAGGATCGCTCTGACTTCCGAAGGAATAGACTCAGTCGAGTAAACCTTGACGTTTGTCAAGGAAGCTACAGGCTTAGAGACTGTACCCACTGCAGATGACTTGCCTTGTCAGGGATTCTAATGTTCAGACCCTCCTATGTGGTTATTTCGGTCTCAGTTCCTAAGGCCTGCCATGCTGGCCTCCCCGAGCTCGTCAGGGTTAGCAGGGGGCCCTTCTCCGTCCACGTTGTCTGCCCCAGTCAGGCAGGAGAGGGGGAGGCAGCAACCAAGCACAGAGCCCCCTTGTCAGAGACTCAAGGGTGTCACTTTCCCTGCTGCAGGGGGCGCTGTATTCACGCACAGGTAAGAGCAACAGGACACCAGGGATTCGCAGGAACAGATGTTTGTAACGACAAAAAGAAACTTCAAGAACCTTAGGCATATTTTTGCATTTCTGTTTTTTTTTTTTCCTGTAAAATTTGGGTGACATGACCCTCCTCCTCTTTTAAATGTCCATAGAAGCTTTATTTCTAATAGTTAAAAAAACTAGAAACAGCCCAGCTGGTGTGGCTTAGTGGTTGAGCATCGACCCATGTACCCAGAGGTCGCCGGTTCGATTCCCGGTCAGGGCACATGCCCAGGTTGTGGGCCCGATCCCCAGTGGGGGGCATGCAGGAGGCGGCCAATCGATGTTCTCTCTCATCAATGTTTCTACCTCTCTCTCCCTGTCCCTTCCTCTCTCTCTAAAATCGATAAAGAAAAAAAATGAAAAGCAGCAACTGAAAACAACGTCAATGTCCATCATCAAATGAGTGGATGAACAAATCAGGGTATATCTATATAATAAAAAACTGGTCAGCGATAAAGAGGATAAGCTATTGAGACAAGCAACAATATGGATGAATCCCCAAAATGCTATGCTGAGTGGATGGAGGCAAGGTATAAGAGAATGCATATGTCATGTGAAATTCATGTGAAATTCTTGACGAGGCAAAGTTAGTGGACAGTCCCAGAGAACAGATCAGCCGTTGCCTAGAGCTGAGGTGGGGGTAGACTTCCCTTCTGGAGCCAAACCACCAAAGAAAACCACGGAAGAGACTTTTCACCACCCTTCACCTCGTAGCCCTCATTGCTCCGCCGTTGATGAAGCGCCCTGCCCCGCGCCAAGCTCTCAGCAGGCATGATCTCATTGATGCTCTGCTCTGCGAGGCAGGTGCTGTTACTGTCCCCAGTTTTACAGGGAAAAAAAAATTGAAGCTGAAAGAAGTTCAGTAAAAGCTCTGAGACTTAACTCCTGTCCATCCATGAGCCTTACACCACCACCGGGCATCTTACAGTCTGCCTCCGGCGTTCAGTTCTAAACCACCATATAGAAGGCAGCGGAGGCTGTTCAAGTTTGTTTAAACTTCTGTTACCGTCTAAACGGCTCCTGCTCATGGGCCAATTTGCTTAATGGTAGGGGAGTGTTTCTGCTCAGTCGGATGGCTGTTTCCTCTCCAAGGCTAAATTAAATGCGTGTTTCCTCGGCCTGTGAATTCTTTCCCAAAGCTGCCTTGTCTTGTACCTTATCTCCAGCCCCTGACAGAAAGATAAGAACAAACGTTTGAAATCAGAAGACCCGTATGGTAGCCCCTCTCTCCAGATGATTCTCGGAAAGTGTACATTGCAAGTCCTAACTCCTGGGTCGGTTGTGGGCATTAAGAAATAAGGTGTAGCCCTGGCGAGTTTGGTTCAGTGGTTGAGCGTCAGTCTGTGGACCCGAGAGTCCTGGGTTCGGTTCCTGCTAGGGGCACCTACCACAAAAAAAAAAAAAAAAAAGAAAGAAATAAGGTGTAGCTCTAGTTGGTTTGGCTCAGCAGGTAGAATGCACCGAAGAGTTGGGGGTTCGATTCTGGTCAAGGCCACATACCTGGGTTGCAGGTTTGATCCCCAGCCCTGGTTGGGGTCTTGCAGGAGGCAGCCAATCGATGTCTCCCTCCTCCCTTCCTCTCTCTAAAAATCAAGGGGAAAATATCCTCCAGTGAGGATAAAAAAAATAAAATAATAAGGTGTGAGAATGCTGTAAGCTTTGATGTGCCAACTATTGTCAATTGTTATGAGTACAAATACCGTTGGATCCTTGGCTGACTGCTTCAGATCAAGCCGCAGAGCTAGAGAATGTGAAGGTGGGACATTTTGGCCAGTGCTCACCTTCTTCCATGAACCCCATCCCCTGAGGGGTAATTAAGACGCCCCCGATGAGTTCTCCTGAGCTCCACTTGGGTTTGAAGGGGTCTTCAGGCCAGGGGATGAAGTACCGTGTCAGGGGACGTGAACAGCCCCCGAGGACCCTCCTCCAAGCGCCCCGGGAGAGTTATTCCGGGACGCCTGTGTCGGGACAGATGCCCAGCGCTCTGTCACTATTTCCTCCCTGCCCTGGAGATGCGACCTGCCCCACTTCCCCAGCTCAGACCTAAAATTAGTGGTGCAGCTGTCCTGCAACGCAGCCCTGTGCCCAGACAGTACTCAGGGCAAGATTTATGACCGAAGTCCACACCGCACGCCTCCTAGCGAGAAGGGGCCTGCAGACAATGTCACTGACCCTCCGTGGCCTGGTGCCAGGCCTCGCTCCCTGGAGGCGGCTAGCCCAGGCCTTCCTCACGCCCCGATGGGACTGCGCTGCAGTTCACTTGC